GATAACCAACTGGTTAACAAACTCCTCTGGGCACACAAGGATGTGGGGGAGAGAGTGGGGAGAAGTATTAAATCAATCTTCATGACTCAAAGAATGGTCCATTTGACTTGGTTCATGTTACTTTTGAAAACAGGATTTCTCTCCTCAACATTCACAACTCCTTCCCTTCCCTTCTCCTCCTCCCCACTCATGGCCATATGGGAGTATTCTCAGATGATTAAGTGTTTCCATCCCTGGGATTCCAGGCTTTTCGGGGCTCTCTTCTTCTTCCCACCCACAGTCTTAGTATCACATCCCTGTTTGGTCCTAGGATATTCATTAGGGAAAGACTTCAGCCATAGTCTTTCCTCCAGGGGGACAGTCTTCCCCCAGATGCCAAACACAAAGTCTGCCCTTTCTGTGCTAAAGACCTGATGCTAGACCTACAGGTGTTAAGTTGACTGGATTTTCAAAGCTGTCAAATGCATCCTGCATGTTTGCATCAGTTACTAAGTTCCCAATCCTGTAAAACGCCCCTCACTGACCATCACAGTGATGCTTCTGAAATGTTATTACTGAAATATTATATCAACTGGAATAAAGTTCATGGCAGCAATTGCTTTTGAAATATCTCTGGAGATTTGGTTAATTGGCATTGTTTGCAACACCACTCTGGCTTGTCTGTGCTAGTGGATCCAAAGTTTAATTCACTTCATGAGTGCTACAAATGAAGCCTGGGTAAAAGAGAATTTCAAAACTGTAACAAGAAATGCCCATTCATGCTGGCTGAGTCCACATGCCCTTGAGAGATGAAAATATCACACAGGTTTTTATGTCTGCTGGGTAATAAAAACTTTTCTACTTATCTAAGGCTAAGGCCTTTACTTGCAAAATCAAACGACCAGGCCAATGTTCAAATCCTTGATTGTGATACAGGTATGGTCATTGTGTGATAATTTATTATGTTGTGACCATATAACCTATGCACTTTTCTGTATGTGCTGTATTTCCATAAAAAGGTTTTAAAACCAAACTTGAATAAAATGAAAGCATGTATGTGTTACTAAGCAGGAGGAATGGAGGGGCATTAAAAAAAATAATTATAGTCTTGAGATAGCCAATACAGAATTCAGGCAGGTCAAATCAGAGCTGTGGGAACCTTACTGAGATAACTTTAATTGGGCTTTATTTGAAAAACAATCTGGTGATCTGAAAAACAATCGGAGTCAAATATAAGTAAAGATGGTACTTGGTCACTAAATATACATGTCTGTCCTTCCACCCATAGCAATACTATAGCAAAAATACATCATTTGTCTGAGAGATCAGAGGTCTGTGGGACAGTATACTACCTGGTGGGGGTAGGCTAAATTTTAGATTTAGCTTAATCTTGTTCCATCCCTGAGTATTTGTGGCTCACTTAATTTGCACTATTAACTCTCCTGTTGTTTTTAAAAGGCTGAGTGGAGAGAAAAGGAAATAAAATTCAATATACTAAAATTTGGTTTCCTCTTAAGAAAGACTATAGTCAAACTTTGAGATTAAAATAAAGACCACAAAATGAAGTTTGCTGAATGTAGGCTTTCTTCACAATGAAGAGATCGCATGCACAATTCCCGGGAACTAAGAAAAGAAAAAGGAAGAAGCTTCCCCCAAATCCAGATCAGCCATTTGATGTTTTGAGTTGTTTATGCTCCAATTAAGCCAGCACTTTGTTCAGTTAACCTCCATTTGACCTACAAAAGAAACAAGTTGTTTTTCTGGAGCTAGTCATTAGTTGAACTGCAACTGATATTCCCTTGATGGCAAAACTTCATTTAAGTTGAAAGAGGAAAATCAATAAACAGGTGACCTGAGGACTAATGAGCAAGATGCTCTGACCCCATCTATCAGCCTTTCCCAAGGCAAAGGGAGGCAGGCTGAGAGACTGGAAACCAGGGAGAGAAAGGAGAGCAGGAGACAGGGAAAAGGACAGAGCAGACGACACACAATCACACAAGATACCTGGGAGAATGCAATTCCAAAAGCCACTCCTGCGATGATTCCCATGTTAGTCTCCATGAAACTGGTCACCAGATCATAACAACCCTGGAAACAGAGAGAGAGAGAGAGAGATGGTCTCTGAGACATGTTTTATACAGGCCACACTGAGCTCTGTTCACATACAAAGCTACCACATGCTGTTATTGTTGTTAACTGCAGTTAAGTTGGCTCGTGGTGACCCGACCCACAGTGACCCCATGCACAAATGAACAAAATGCTGCTGGGTTCTGTATCATCCTCATGATCAGTGGCAGACAGGACTGTCCTCATGATCAGTGGCAGACTGGGCAGCTATGATTCATATCAGTAGATCATGAGGTCTTTCTTTCTGGTGCGTCTTAATCTGGAATCTCCACTTAGACCTGTTCAGCACCATAGCAACACCTCAGCCCCCAGGGACAGGTGGGTGGTGGCTGCATACTAGGGGCACTGGCTGGGAATCAAACCCAGGTCTCCCACATGGAAGGGGAGAATTCTACCCCTGACCCACCAATGCCCCCATTAACTAGCTGCTGTTGAGTAAATTCTGACCTTGGTGACACCATATAATCCAACATTAATTCAACACACACAATTTCAATTGACCTAAGAACATATTAGCATTTTTTAAACACTTAACAAAAATAATGAAAAATTTCAAATAGATCAAAAAGTATAGATAGTACAACAACCCCCCACATGACCCTTCCCTTTAACACCACAATTAACATATGGCCAATCCTGTTTGACTAAACAGCTTGACTACCATCTGCTGGCTGGATTATTTTAAGACAAACCCCAGACACATAATTTCATGGAATAGGATTAAATTTAGCAAGAAATCTGTAAGATCTATGAAGAAAACACTACAGAGGTATAAAAGTAGGCTTCAGCAGATGAAAATGAATTCCACATCCTTGAAAAGGAAGACTTCATCATAAATATAGTTACCTGGATTTTCATAACAAATGACAAAATCTTAGATAAAAAAATTCTCTTGTTAGAGGGAGATGTGTGAACTCCTGGAGTTTATACAGAGTTCTAGGTTTCTCCCTAAGAGGACTATTAAGGGTGGTTTTTTTTTTTTTTTTTAATAGAAAAAGCCTATGCTCTAGAATCATCTTTTCCACAAACTTGCTGTGACCTAGCTCAATTCACTTTCCCTTTTCAGATGTCAATACCTTTATCCATTGAACAGGTGCTTTTGCTTTACATAATCAGAAATCTAATAATGTTGCTAAACATGTTTCCCCCACCCCAATCAATCACTCAATCAATAATTAAATAAAATGAGCTTTAATTCTATATATATTTTTCCAATGTATGATTCCTCCTCCATTTTAGGAGAGTTTAGAGTCAGCCACATTTTTAAAAATTATTTTGCTATTGAGAATATATACAGCAAAATATACACCAATTCAATAGTTTCTACACGTACCATTTAGTGACAGATATTCTTCATGTTGTCCAACCATTCTCACCCTCCTTTTCTAAATTGTTCCTCCCTTCCTTAACATAAGTTTACTGCTCCCTAAGGTTCCTATCTAACGATTCAAGTTACTGTTATCCTTTGATCCCATACAGATAGTTCTTGGGAAAAAAAAAAAAAAGCAAAATGCTGAGGTAGACTTTTTTGTTTTACTAAACTATTGTGTTTTAAGAAGACCTGAAGGTTTTAAAGTTTTTTTTTGGTTTAAGGTTTAGAGATTATCTCAAGGCATTCATCCAACCTTCATGGCTCCAGAAGGTTTAGAGTCCATTAAGAATTTGAAATTCTGTTCTGTATCTCCCCCCTTTTGATCAGGATTCTTCTATAGTATCTTTAATCAAAATGTTCAGTATGGTAGCTGGGCACCAGAGAGTTTTG